AAAAAAAATAAAATCACAGTTTGGCCTCAATCTGGCTTCAGATCTCAACTACTGGCTGTGACCTTTGGCAAGATACCTAGCTTCTAGTTATCCCAGTTTTCTTGTCTTTAAAATGGAAATGAGAACAATATCTACCCTCATACGGTTGTTGTATGGATAAAAGGAGATCATGCATGTAGCATATGGCTACATTCGTGTAGTGGCTGGCACATGGTTAATTAATTGCGGATTAACTAACAATTTAATTCAAGAAATAATTCTTGTAGAGGTGTAGGATCTATGCTTGTATAAGTAATGGTGCCAGCCTTCAGGGAACTCATAGTATTGTTGGGGAAACAGAGGAGTAAACAAAAACTTTCCATATGCTGTGACTAGGTACTCTAACAGAAGCCTAGGAGTGCTATAGGGAGCATAGAAAAAGGAAGACAGGCTGAGGGAGCCACATAGGAACTGCAAAGGAGGGGTCATTTAGACATGTGAGCTGATCCTAAAAGATGAGTATGAGTTTGCAAGCTGAGAAGGAGGGAAAGACGGGTTGTTGTTTATCCCAGTCTTTGGATGCTCCCCGCACTGCATTTATTTTAAATAATGAAAACAAAATTTAATTGTGGCCAAAAACAGATATGACAAAATGTAGCATCTTAACCATTTTCAACTGTAAAGTTCATCCCCATTGCATTTTATGTTTTCACATTACATGTGGAAGCTTACTGCTTCCTGAAAATGTGAAGCTCTTTCCTGCCCTGGTGCCCCTTGTTACACCTGCATTGCCTTTCCCACCTTGTCTGTCTGGATCTTGACATGTTTCCTTGTCTGGCTCCCTCCAGACAGTTTACCACGTTCTCCTCTGTGCTGCCTCTGCTTTTAGTATATACTTCTATTCTGTGTGTATCATAGTACATCATCATTTGTTTGTATGCATGTTGCCCTTACTACCAGACTTTGGACTCATTGACAGATGCATCTTTATCTTCTTATTTTTGTTTTCCAGTCCCCAGAACAGTGTCTGGTATATGGCAGATGCCCACATTAGTATTTGTGGAATTGACCTGAAGGACATTCCAGGCAGTGGGAATCATATGTGAAAGGGCATGGCCTCCTTGGAGAGCATGAGAATTTTAGAATGTCCATTGAGTGGAAAGTAGTTGAAGTTGATGAAGCAGAAGAAAAAGTCAGAGTTAGGGTTGGAGCCAGATTGAGAAGGGCCTAACCCAAGAAGTTGATTTTTGTTCTATGGGTAGAAAGAGACATAGGAAGTAACTCTTTCTTCCTTTCTTTCTTCTTTTAATGTTTATTTATTTTTGAGAGAGAGACAGAGTGCAAGTGTGGGAGGGACAGAGAGAGAGGGAGACACAGAATCCAAAGCAGGCTCCAGGCTCTGAGCTGTCAGCACAGAGCCTGACATGGGGCTCCAACTCATGAACTGTGAGATCATGACCTAAGCCGAAGTCGGATGCTCAACCAACTGAGCCATCCAGGCACCCCGGAAGTAACACTTTCAAAGAGCAGAATTATGACATGATTATGATTTAATTTTGAAGATACTTTGGTGGCATTGTGTGAAATAGTCTAGAGTAGGGAGAGACTGATAAGAAATGACAGAGAACAAGGAACTGGGCTAAGAGAGTAGATGTGGGAACAGGAGGAAAGGTTGGATGTGAAAAATCAATTTTTAGATTGAAATGATAGTATTTGGAGGTCATTTGAGGAGGAAGAAGAAACTGTTGAGCAACAAATAGAAATTGAGGAACATTTTAACATTTCTAGCTTATGAAAGTGGATGACTAATATTTCTCTCATGTTAGCAAGGCATTGTTGATTTGTTATTTGTTCTTAATTAATTACCTAGGAAAGAACTTGGAGAGTTATATAATATGTACCACAAAATGTACCAAAATGTATCAAAGTGCTATGTGATGATACTAAATGAGATCACATAATCCAATATAAACAGTGCATCATTTTGAGATGACTAAACCAATAGTTACTGCAATATTCAGTTCTAAGCTTGGTTCTTTTTTTTTAAGAAAAAATTTTTAAATATTTATTTATTTTTGAGAGAGAGAGAGAGAGAGAGAGAGAGAGAGACAGAGTGCGAGTGGCAGAGGGGTAGAGAGAGAGGGAGACACAGAATCTGAAGCAGGCTCCAGGCTCTGAGCTGTCAGCACAGAGCCTGATGGGACTCAAACCTGTGAACTGTGAGATCATGACCTGAG